GGAAGCTTTTTTTTTTTTTTTTTTTTTTTTTTTTTGACACCTGGAACTGCGCTGTGCTAAGGGCTTCACCGATCTGAAATCTTTCATTGGGAAATTCAAAATTGTCACTTGTAATATGCTGGCATGTTGTGCTTCGGATTATTGCGAAATACTCTGAGTCAATCATGTGTACCAACATCAGAATTGAAAAGTTACATAGGAACGTACGCGCAGATTCAATAGCAGCAATGCTACAGTCTTCACCCGAATAGAACGCCCGGTCATTATAGCTGTATTTGGCACAACTTTCGGTCCGGATGCAGCGATAATGACCGGGCATTCTATTCGGGTGAAAACGGTAGGTGTTATCTGTCACAGACTGTCAGTGGACACACACCATGGTGCACACAAAACCACACCTTCCCTCATACACAGTCCATCTCCTCCGTTTAGTCAGAACACTTCTATCTCGCTTTGTGTCCACCACCCCTTTTCTCTCTCCGTCTTCCTCCTGTGACCAAGCACACACACACGCACACACACACACACACACGCGCACACACACACACACACACACACACACACACACACACATCTCTCTCTCTCTCTCACACACACACACATTCTCCCTGCAACTGCCAGCTCACAAAAACAGAGACGATGCGAGACAACCAAAAGGTATTGAATCTATTGATCCCTCCTTCCCTTCTCAGTTGTCTCTTTTTATTTTTATTTTTTCTCGGTTGGCTTTTCGTTTGAAGACCTGGCAAAAATCTACCGATGGGTGGAGTGGTTCAATTCCAGATGAATGTCTGCTTTGGAGATGCCATCTGCTTCTGTCTCAATTGCCCTCTCCACTCGTCGTGCAATCTCCATCGCCTCTCTGAAGACAAGACAAGCGGGATAATCATCATCATTACAAACAGGAACATCATCGTGCAAGGAAAATGAGCGAGCGCGATAGGCAGAAAACCAAATTGCAATATCAAGCTGAAGACCAGATAGTCGTGTACCAAGCACAAAGCACAATGCACCGAGATACAAGCCCAATAAGAGCAATACAATGAACTCAAATGTCAATGTCGACTCTGTCTCTCGCCACACCAACAAAGTATCCAATGTCGCTCGCTCTTCTCGATTGGCGAGCAGCGCCCAGACTATCCTACTCAGCACTATACTAGCCCTACACTAAGTATATGCAACTGGAGTCACGTCAAGCAGAAGACCAAGGTAAGTGACAACGTCGCCAATGCAGATTGCCAGCATACACTAGGTACTTGTCTCTCCTCGTCTCCTCACTCGTCTCCCCACAGCATGCGCCTCCTCCCCCAAAGACCACCATCGCCAAGCCAGCATGCACCCCAGCAGCCCGGCTATGGCCGCCGTGCGCCCGCTGTCACTGTCGTGCGCCCGCTGCCACCGCCGTGCCCCTCTCGCCTCGTGTGCCCGCGTGCGCCATCTGGCCGACCGCCTGCTGCCACCGCCGTGGCCCTCTCGCCTCGGCCACGCTGCTTCACCGTCGTGTGCCAGGGCGCAAGCTAGCGCGTCAGTGAAGCAGCGTGGCCACCTGCTTGCACAATGCCGGAATCCCCTTTGGCTGGGCGCACACTTTCCTTCATGGAAAGTGAGCCCAGTCTCTGGCTGACCTGGCCCTAGTGGGCGTGTGCCCAGTAGCTTCACGTTCGGTCAGAGTGTCTGCGCCCAGGCCCAGTCAGACAGTCGCCTGGGGCCGCCGCAGTGAAGCTGCCCAACTGTGTGGCGTGGCTGCTGTCGCACGCTGCATTCTCATTGGCCTACAAAGGCCCAGCCACATCGCTCGCTGCTTTCTCATTGGACGAAAGTCTTCGGCCACATCGCTGCCGGAAAGAGCCATGACGCTCAGCGTGTTGCGCTCACACAGGCGTGGCCCTGTAACCAACTGGCGCATGGAAACTGTCTGGTGCCCCACAATGCAGAAATGACGAAAATAGGGCCTCGTTGTCAAATGCCGGCCCGCCGTCACTTCGGGCGGGCACGAGGCAGTTTGGGGGCCCCTTCGGACAGTGGGAGGCCGCGGCCTAAGGTCCCCCGCGAGGGCTCAATCCTCGCAATCGGTATTTCAGTCAATTTATTTGGGGGAAAAATGTGGCTTAAAGGTTTGAAAGAACTCAGAAACTCAGCCGAAGGTAAGAAGAAGAGTGGAAGAGTGGTGTGGGGGAAAGACTCGAAAGAGTGAAAGCAGGTTGGGATCTCAGATGATAGAGAAGACCAAACGAAATTGAAGGGTTGGGATCTCAGACGCATATTGAGAGAGCATATGACTTCAGCACTTCAGGCTCCTGTGTCAGAAAAACTGTCTTCCAGCAATTTGTTCACCAAGGTCGCAGAAAGAGGAGGACACATAGGGCCTTGCCACACTACTCGTGAAACCAGAAAAAAAAAAAAAAAAAAAGCTAATGCATCTTCGCACATTAGCTGGCAAGATGCATCCGTTACTAATACAGTAATATACTAATAATACTTACTATTCATAGTAAGTTAGTAACCTACATATCTGTGCTTCGGGACATCCGTTAAAATTGGAACGATACAGAGAAAGAAGATTAGCATGGCCCCTGCGCTTTCAAGGATGACACGCATAAATCGAGAAATGGTCCGAAATTCCAAATTAAAAAAAAAAAAAAAAAAAGTAACATACATATCTTGCCAGCTTCTGCAGGAAGCTGCAAGAAGCTGCAGTCTTTTTTTTTTTTTTCAATTTTTTTGACAATTTTTTTGTTCATTTCGTGAGTACTGTGGCAAGGCCAACAGAAAGATCGATACAGTGCTGTCTTACTTTGTGTTTGGGCGCAACAGACAGTCAAAAAAGAAAAAAGAAAAAAGAAAAAAGAACAAAAGAACAAAAGAACAAAAGGAAGACAGACAATCCTTCCGGAGAGTGGCAATCAAGGCCATCAGCGGTTCTCCTGGCCATAACAAGGGAAGTTTCAGTGCGGATGATTATTGTACCTTTCTTTATTTGCCGGTGGGAAATGAAAATAATAACTCCAAAGAAAAAGAAAAAGTATTTTGGAAACATTTTCAGGGATAAATCAGTAAAAGTGCCGGCGTTTTATCAAAGTTCATAGTTGAGAAACCAGCTTTGCAGCCCCCATTCATCTGCTATGTGTGTACGCGATACCACATACGCACCTGCTAAAATGCGCCGACAGATCCCACATCCTCCAGCACTAAGCAAATTGGGTGCTAGTATCATAAACACTCATTGAGAGGTTCGCAGGATCTCCTCTTTCATGCCCCACCCCAACAAGAAGAAAAGGGGTCTCATGTCTCTAATGCATTCTATGTTCATGCGTGTGTGTGTGTGTGTCTGTGTGTGTGTGTGTGTGTGTGTGTGTGTGTGTGCGTTATATTCACAATACACTCAAGAAAAGCATGACTGTGCCAGACTCTTTCGTCGGACTTTCACCGGCTCATCAGGAGCTGTCTCTTATACACATCTAGATGTGTATAAGAGACAGGTCTAACGCATACTTCACTGTTTTTCTTGAAGTTTCGA